AGTGTAATGGCAGTACGTCCGACCGGTAATCGGAAGGTCTGGGGTTCAATTCCTCAGTCGGGCAGTGGTCTTTTTCCGTTCTGTCGTGATATAACATCTCGCTGGGTGATTACGGGGCGTAACACATATAGAACATATTTTTTTGATGTTACGTGAATTTTCTTGAGCTTTTCAAGTGCTTATCTGATATCTAACTAGTTGAAGATAATGCTGTAATAAAGTTTTAATAACGAGTAGATTCACCGAACTACGATTCGGTAATTTATTCATTAAGCACAGAAACGAATCTAGATAAGCTAGAGAGTTTGCAGTATCATGTGGCTCTAGCTATTTTAGAAGCTATCAAAGACACTTCTAAAGAAAAAGTACTTTAAATATTAGGATGGGTTTCCATAAAAAATCATTGTAAAATTCTTCGATTACTAACTTTCTCTAAAGTCGCAAAAGGTTTAGCGCCTCGTTACTTAACTTCACATTTACAAACGCGTCAATCCAATGTTCGATACAGTTTACGTAGTAATCAGATATCTACCATGGAGGCGGTAAATAACATGGATAAAGATTTTTTTACTGTTGTGTTGTAGCGCGGGACTGGAATGACCTCAAATATTAATAATTTTAACTGATGACTTAACAGAAGAACGACATGATCAAAGTTATTCACAAGCAATACATAAAAAGAAAATAAATTAAATTTTATGTTTATTGAAGATGATGAAAATTCAAATGAAGATTTATTAAAAGCATTAGAAAAACAAATTAAATATTCAAAAACAAAATTTGAACAAATGATTGATTTATCAATTTATGTTAAGTTTATATCACATTTGGTTGTTTCGTTGCATAGTGGATAAAATTCATCTTCTCTGAGAAGTGGCACGAGCTAATAAAAAATGTCGGAATTCTCTGAGAATTCTTATCTGGTAAGGTAGGGTAAGACATGATAAAATAAGATAGGATAAGGTAAGGAACTGTCGCAAACGTTTTATGGCAAGGTAGGGTAAAACAGATTAAGATAAGATAGACTAAGGTAAGTAAGAGAAGGTGAGGTAACGCCAAGATTTCCTTTGTTATGGAGTTTATTCTGATAGTCACACGGTGTACGCACTTCAAGCTGTGCCGTACACTAATCGACAATAGGGCGCAAAGAGGATTTCGGAGCGTTTTGGGGGAGGGGACGGTGTTGGTGAGTCCTGGCAGTGAGTCAGAAAACAACATTCCTCTCATTGCAATAGTTAGGTGATGTTTAACGAATACATTAACTATCTTAATTCTTATTCGATCAGATCTAGTTTATTTTAACGAGTTTTACATGATGAAAACTTTTGTATGATAAAAAGGGCGCTGTACTGGAAAACGAATAGTAAAGGAGGAAATTCTAAAGCTCAGAGCTCACCAGTCGGTCGAGCATTTTTCTAATAGGCCACAACATGGTGGAGAAAACTGCATATCTCATTTGAATGAAAATCGAATTCTACATAATAAGGTTTAACTTGCTTTTGAAGAAGTTGTAAAATTCCGGACGAAAAAGTCAAATTATTTAAAAATATGTTTGTTTTATATCAAAAGGGCAATTTCAATAATAATAAAGATGATAAGTTTCTCTCGGTAATGAGAACCGTCTTCATCGGTCTATTGGCTGGGTTAAAGAAAGATCTAAATTGGAATACACAAACTCGAATTCAAGTTCAGGAGCTGAGTTAATGGCTAACTAACAAAGTTTTCTAAAGCACTAAAATAACAGTGAGCGTTGCCAAGATTGGTGAGTTGACAGGTTTGATGATTTCACCTTGACGGGTCACAGCCGTCGACGCCGTCATGATTTGCTGGTCACTGCGGCTGTATTGCAATAATCCGAGCAGCAGCAGTGATATGTCCCTACAATACCATCCACGATAATGCTTTTTTCACATATCAAAGTGTCGGAGCTGCCGAGAAAGTCGTAATAGATACCGATGGTTGATGTGGTCTGCGAAACAGTAACAGAAAATGTTAACAGCAAATAAAGATTCCACAATGACAACTTACAATACAAACAGCACCCGATGCCGTGCTCGACAAAGATGGAGCAGTAAGAGCAATACCGTAATAACACGTGTATGCCGATGTTTGTTGTGTCACTAGAATGGAAATGTGAAAACCAAATCGCAAAAGTATAGGGTCATGCCGCTTTTCGGAAATGAAATATTGGAATCTCTCTCTGAGGCTCATGTTGCATCTTTGTTGGAAGTGCATCAATGGTTCCCAAGGATCAGTAATGTTACGGTGAATGGTGGAAAATTGAGCGAAGTGTTGTTAATCTCTTATTGAATCTAAGTTGTATTAACAAGGATTATTTGTCGCACCGTGAGGAAATATTTTTTACTACGCGTGATATTGACGAAGAATTTGAGAGAGAAATCTTGAATTTTGAAGAGATATTTATCAGAACTCTGTTTACCAGAGAAAATGATTTACTTACCAGTTTCCGAGTGGTTTTGAATAGTTGAAAGTAAGAAGATTATTCTGTTCATGAACCAGATTCTTGCACCATCATATTTTTTCTTTTAATAAATCTCATTCTGATCAACTATTATTGACTTTGAGATATTTTTTCTGTAAACAATCTAACTTCGTTATTATTATTGTTGTTGTTGATTTTCAACTCTTTTTTTGTCATCTAGTATCGATTCTTATTCTGTGTTTTATTTCGTAGATGAAAGTTTCCCTTCTTATGCAAAATGTCTGTATGTTTGAATAAACAGAACAACGTTTAACTTATGTTTTTTTGTTTTCATTCAGTTAAATTGTTGATTGTTTATTGAAATCTCATTTTTGATTATTCATAAAGTTTTTCTCAAATCATAAAATAACTTCCTGTTAATACTTAAGAGATTCGATTCTCGATAGATTTGAGTTGTGAACAAGAGAGATATTTAGAAAATCTCTCATAATGAATGTATTCTGGTGAACTGACTATTGAAGAACACGTTTTATCATCTTTCGAAAGTTATTGTATGATGATTATCTTTCAAGATTAGTATTTTATGTTCGAATATTAATTTCTAAAAGATGATTACAAAATTGATTTTAATATCATTCATTCAGTTTCATGTAAAATTCTTGTTTAGTTATTTATCTTTACGGATTTTTTATTTTCAAAAGTGTCGCTGTTTTCCGAGGTCATTGGAAAACAACTGAAAGTCAATAATCGTTAATGCATGATGAAACATGATACTTAGATCGAGTCGCTGTTTCCTTAAACCCCCGATGGCTACTGATTCATCTCATCACATCTAGTTTTTTAATATCAAGATATCAGGGGTCACAAATGAAAAGGATTAATGTCTTCATATTTTAATATGTATAGGCAGTGACGTTGAGTCCCAATGGAGTTGGTTTGAAATCTCGATGGCATGTAGGACAATCTGCATCCGAGAAATGTATTATGAATGTACGTACAGCAGAACATCGACGACAATGAGGACATTCATAAGGTATATTTTGAATACCTGGTGGTAGCTTTTCTATCAGATTTCGTCCTGTTTCACTACTCTTCCTTTGAAATGCTCGAATTTCACTTGGTTTCAAATCATCTAAAGTCTAATAAACATCATAAAACTTTAGATTTAATGCCGCTTGCTCCCGAACTCGGAAAATACCTTTATCTGCAAACCCAGTGCCCCATGAGTTAATAAATGTTAAACCGGTCGGATCACACTTCATCAGCACAACAGCATGTCTACTGGTTATTTTTATCTACTTATAGAATAACAGAGAAGAACTACCGTTCATAATCATCTCTAAAAAATTTCATTTGTTAGAGGAATCAGTTGTGAAATATGTGAATAAGGAATGTAAGTTAGTCAATTAAAATCCATTCCTAAGCAAAAAAACGGTGTAGATAAAAATAACCAGATATAACTACTTTATAACCATCTACCGGCTGTATAAATCCGTTTACTACACCTACAGTAGGGAGACAATTTCAACGACAGGTGACTAAGTGAATGTTCTAATACCTCAATTATATCATTTCTTATTATTTGGCGATTATGAACCTGAATAAGAAGAATTTGACTAATTCAGTTTCGAAACTGTATTAGATATCTTACTTGGGCGCTATTGATTAAATCAAGAATATCCTTTTGTACCCGAGCCATTTTAACATGTACAGAACCTAGAATAGAAGAGAAAAGAAATCACATACTAAACCAATAATTTTCACGATAAAAATTCATAATGCAAGGTAAAATGCAAACGTTTAGCAGTCCACTCTGTAACATTTCGCCTCTACATGGCGTCTTTTACCTTTCTTCTTTTCTTTCTCTACATTAAAAGGTAAAAAACTGTGTCTTGTCGTGATGTTCTTGTTTTATTATAAATAAAGTTAAAAAGTGGAGGAGAAAATATGAAGAAATTTCCAACTTCTTTCATGTGGATAGAATCATCAGAGTGTTGGATAATTTCAAATGGGGTTATCACTTTTTCACTGGACGTTTCTTACTTCAAAATACTATTGAGAATTTCTTTTCTAACTGTTCCTCTTGTCCTGTCTGTACAATGCAAAACTGTATTTGAAGAAATATATGAACTTCTACCCTAGAAAATGTTTTTTTGATAAAACTGATAAGATTCTTATCGGAATCTTATCAATTTCTTATATAAGGTTATTTAAAATTTCCCATCGACTATCTAATTTGTAAAAAGAACTGACCGTCTAAAGTAAAAAAGTTGTTGCATTAGCGCAAAAAATGCCTTTGAGAATATCTAGCTATAAAACTATGCTATCGGGCAATATCGGCTTGTGGTAGCTAGCTATCCGTACACTTTAATGGAGTTAGCTAGGTATGATAGTTGGCGACTAGATATCGTAGGAAGAAAGAAAGACAAGTTATGTGAAACTATTTTTTTCTGCTGTGTAATGTTAGCTGGTCCAATCTGCTGCACACAGTGGACATCCAAGTGGACATTTAGACAAAAATTGAACGTACACTTAAAGTGTTTTGGAAAAATTTTCCAAAATTCATTTAGTGTCAAATATAGTTTAGTTGAGAGATCATTGCATGGCATTAAAAGTTTTAACGCCAAGTGTCCTAATTTTCAAAAAAACGTGTCAACTAAAGAATGGTTGCAACTACTGATCTCTAAGAAATACAACTTTTCTAATAAATCTAGCGATTTAAAGTTTGTAAATTCAGTATATGCGAAGACTTTAGTTTCCTCTATCAAAAGGTGAAAAACGTACTCTCCCTAGACGTATTATGTAGCAGAAAAAGATTAGTTTTCGGGACCTTTGCCGCTTGGAAAGATAAGCTTCTGGTGCAGTCACTTTCCACCTTTCCTCCAACTCAAAATTACAAATATTATTCGCCATTATCAATGTTTTGTCAACAAACAATATTAAAATTAAACTACGATAAAAGGCTATTATTCGACTTTTTAATGCAGCTTTTTTTCAAGAATTTCTCACTCACTCATTTTGAGGCGCTCTAAAAACTTGGATTTCTGGGTGGCTTTGAACGCTTTATCTAATGAGATCATAGAAGAACGTTTTAAGTTTTGATCATGTCACACGCTTTCTCAATAACCGCCCGAACCGTCTCTTAAATAATAACTTTTTTTATTTTCGTTTACAGAAATATTACACTGTACAAAATTTATTAACAGAAGCTACACATAATGCAAAATCAGATCAAAATAAAAAGAGAGTTCACCGTTTTATAATCTGCCATATTACGAAGAAAACGTTTACTATTGATCTGTTTTTGTGGCCTAGCGATTAAGTCTGAATCAGAGCTGATCATCTGCATTTTAAACTGGCAGGGCAGTGCAGAAGCTTTTATGCACAGTCACTTCCTGTGCAGGACAAAAGACTTTTTACTAACCTGCAAACTGCAACGCAGGTAAATTTTATTTTGCTCCTGCGCGGTACCGCGAAGGGGTCAACAATTATGCAGATGAACAGCTCTGGTCTCAATGTTTTTCCTTTTCTTTTCAGTCTTTATTTTCTTTTCGTTCTGGAATTTCCACTTTTGTTTCAATAGTTAGAGATGCGTAGACAATTAAATCAATAGACTACAAACTAAGAAAAAGAAGTATAACTGAGTTGCAAGACGCTGTCGTTCTATTTTTACTTCGGCTTGAGATTCATCAGCGATTAGATCGTATTTAACCAAGGCAGTTTTGAATTTCAATCGTTAAATATAGACGAATTTTAATTAGAATTTTCGACGGCGGTTGAGCTTCTGAAATACGAACGAAAAAATATTTCTACCTGACATACGATTCTATTGCTGATAATTACATTTGTGTATCTTATCTGTATGTTTTTCGCGTCGTATTAATTCAATCGCCTAGTCAACAATTCGTTTCAATGCAACTAATAATTCACCGAAAAGACCTATTAAAGTTGTTCCCTTAACTGAAAGTCTAGGGTCATATGAAATAAATGTCGGCGTCGGCGTCCGCATGTGACGGACGTACATACATATAGTGGCCAGTGAGTGTGACGGACGTACATACACATAGTGACCAGTG